ACAAATTACTCTTTCAGTGTCTGTGGAGGAATTTCAAAAACAAATCAAGCTGCCGTGATTCATACGTGGACTCATGTTTGCCCTTTGGATTCAGGTTCAACTGAAATAAAAAACGGATTTTTGCAGCTGTAAAATATCTCGCGGAGGCGGGCGGCTGCTGGGAACGAAGGCCTTACAATACGAGCAGGACTCTCAGAGCAGCAGTGATGCAAACGAGAAGCAGCACCCAATTACAGGCTGAACGGTAGCGTTAAAAGGCCAAATTACACAATGACGAATTGCATAAGACTTTCTGAGAATCTGAGGTCATGTGCTGCGCGCGTCCGCGTCGTAGAGCGGCCAGCGAAGACGGGCGCATTACGTAACGGCGTTCCCCCCAAGCCTTGGTTTTCCTGGCCGGTGAGGTGCCAACTCGCTTTATATTTCGAAGGACTTCAGGACTCAGACATGTGATGCTCACTGTACACCGCGGCACAGCTGGGGCAGCGCTGGAACATTTTCAAAGATACACAAGCCGCTTTAAATCCCTGGAGTTTAGGGAATGTAGACAGAGACTTCTCACAGGAGACCTCGCTGGAGCTTTTCCCCGCTCTTTGGTTTTTTTAAATTCATGCCGGGAAGCTTTTCCGAGCCCGTGTTCTGTTTCTCAACAACACCTCGATTCACATTCACACACTTACACTTGATCACACCTGGGAGCTGCAGAGTACAATCACACCCGGCTGCTGAGCGGCCTCGTTGGGGAAGCTGAAGGAAGCGAGGCCTCTGGAGTCCACGCTCCCTCGGCAGGTTTCGTGGCGGGGGGGCAGCTCGAGCAGCCCACCTTACCTGTGAGCTGCAGTTGTAAAGACAGAATAAAAAATAAAATCTGAATGGAAACTAACCCACAACAGTCTTCACACCTCTATTTTGAGACATTAATATTTTACTTTAGTCACTTTTTACAAATATCTTGTTGAATATTTCATTTCTTTAACAGATGCTGATAAACCTGAACACAGATCCACAACGCCGCATTCGACCCATCAGGGTCCGGGGTCCGGCTCGGCTGTCATTCACGCCTTCATCCATCTTCTTCCCATCCAGGTCAGGTTGTAGCTGCAGCAGTTGAAGCAGAGATACCCAGACCTCCATCACCTCCTCCAGCCCTTCTGTGAGGACTCTGTCGTATTCGCACGTAGGACTTTCTCTGGCGTTTCCTGGGCCTGGCCCGGGGCCGCCTCCTGGCAGGACGTGCCCAGAGCACTTCTTCCCAGGAGACGTGCCCGGAGCCTGACCACCTCGACGGTTCCTCTGGATGTAGCACCTCTGCTTTGACAGAAACCTCTCATTTCTGAATATTTTCCTCTTTAGCCTGTGGCTGAAGCAAAAGCCACCCTTAATGAGTCGCCAGTGACTCTGTGGATGTTAAAGAGCGCACCTCTGACTCCTGTTTAAATGCATTCATGTTCACTCAGACTAAAGTAAAGTTTTTGCTTAAAACCCTCCAGATAGCCAGATACTTGGAACGGGCGGCTATCAGAGTGTGAGGACTCTGTGAGGTCATTTATGACCCGGATAAACACGTACAACTGCTTTTGTTCATCTAGAAAGAGAGCAGATTTCTCCTGTTTTGGCTTCCTGTTAAATCCAGAATTCAAAATCCTGCTCCTCACATACAAGGTCTTAAATAATCAGGCCCCATCTTATCTTAATGACCTTGTAGTACCATATCACCCTATTAGAGCACTTCGCTCTCGCTCTGCAGGCCTACTTGTTGTTCCTAGAGTATTTAAAAGTAGAATGGGAGGCAGAGCCTTCAGTTTTCAGGCCCCTCTTCTGTGGAACCAGCTTCCAGTTTGGATTCAGGAGACAGACACTATCTCTACTTTCAAGATTAGGCTTCAAACTTTCCTTTTTGCTAAAGCATATAGTTAGGGCTGGATCAGGTGACCCTGAACCCTCCCTCTTACAGGACCAGGGTTCTGGGGCTTTCCCATGATGCACTGACTGTTTATACGGCGTCTCCTTATAGCCTTCACTCTTCTCATTCACCCTCGATCCGGTCGCAGAGCCTAGTTCTGCTGAAGGTTTCCTCCAGTTAAAAAGGAGTTCTTCCTCCCCACTGTTACCAGTCAGGAATCACCTGACTGTTGGGATTTCTGCCCAATCGGATCTTCATCCAACCACCTTGAGGTGACCGTTGTGTGAAGTGGTGGTATGCAAATAAAGCTGACAGGAAGACGTTTTGCAGTGATCAAACAGCTCCAGGCGGTTCGTGAGTCATGTGAGATGAATTCTCCAGTTTGTGCTGTACTGTGTAACATTTTCCCCAGCAACAAAAATTTACATAACAGAGAAAATATATTCCAAAGAGACGCAACAGCGCGCGTTTGTTTTATGTTTATAATGAGGACATGCTTTAGCTCATCTGCACAAGTGCAAAAAGTTAATACCGAGGAAGCGTCTGCTAAACCGTAGCAGCACGCTTCAGTCATTTCAGCGAATGAGCCTTTCATGGGCTCAGAGATGGTTTATGACGCCAAGTGCTGTGCTCATTACCGCCTCTAATCTGACACACCACTCACCTGTGACACTTTAATGTTAACATACAATAAACAGTATATATGATAACAATCTTTCTTTTGCATGAAGCGATACAATATTTCTTTTCAAGGTTTGATCTTCAAGCCGTATTTACTGCTGCGAAGCCAGTAACACCAGTGTTTCAAGTAGAGACTTCATATTTAACCGGTTTCCCACGGGGCCTAAATGCAGCATCAGACACAAAAAAGTCTTTTCTGTAGAAATGTTCGTCTCTTCGATTTATCTGCTGAAAAAACGAGCTGGAAAGCCAAACACTCACGGCACGGTACGAATATTTAGGCACACAAACTGCACACTTCGACACGGCGAGCGCTCCGAGGCCACGGCAGCTTTCAATCCGCTGCGCGCCGCTATCAGGCCGAAATGTGATTCCTCACCTTTATTCTTATTCAGGTTTAATTTTTATTTTTACAGCCCCCTTCATTCTCATTGTGATTCCAAAGGCAGAGCTTATCTTAAATTAACACCAGCGCCGTGATATCCTTTGAGAATACCGACCAGATATTACAGCTTGCCTGGGATGGGCTCTGCGACGTGGAGAACATCCACAATGAGCGCGGTGGAAATGCTAAGCAGGCGGGAGACGCCGCCCTGAATCAGGCCTCGACCGTTTCAAGGCCGCCGACATTTCTCTGCTCAAACCGTTTTCCTGCATCCGCGCAGAGCGGTCACGTGACTTCACCAGATCAGGATTCGGTAACGCTTCGTGATTCGACTGCAGGTCAGGACGTAATTCCTCTGTAATTGAACGGGAGTTTTTTTATTTGAACTTATAATGTGATTATGTTTACCTACACACACAGGTAAACACCAGAATAAAAGGTAAGTCTGGTTTTTACTGGAAACAAAATCATCATACTGGAAGTAAATTTAATTTAATATCGTTTGTTTTTTTCTTTGTTTCCTGTAGAAGACTTAAAATTACTCATGCAGTATATAAAAGTCTTTTTGGTTCAGACTGCTGGTGGTTTGATGGACACTTTGGGCCCCTCTGTAACCCCCAAGCATTATTTAAACACACCAGCCCAGCTTTTACATTACACTGTGTTTTTGTTTATACAATTATAGAGGTAAATATGTATTTTTGTTACGTTTATTACCAAAAAACTGAAAATAAATCAGAGAAAAACCGTTCTGTCAGCATGCGTAGGCCGACTGAGACAAAGGTATACGGGGAACTTAGAGCCAGCGTCTCCTAAAACCTGCTGAAAGACGAGAGACTGTCACAGTTTCATTATGCATATCAAAGTAGCTTATTTTGATTTAAGAACCCAAAACATTATAAACAACCCCTTATAAAAAAGTCATTTCTGCAAATACTAAACTAGATGGAGTTAAATCCGTTGTGTGTATGCGTCCATGCTCAGCACTGTTACTGAGGCCTAGCAAAGGCAGAATAAGACAGCTGCTTACCAGCAAGCCTGAGCGCTTCCTTTTAGGACAGTTTGAAACTGTGAGCACTGACTTTTAGTGCCAGCCTCAAGTGGCCACTAGAGGAACTGCAGCTTCTGTTCAGTCGCGGTGCTAGGCCCTACCAGCTAGCTCACCACTGAAGACCGGTTCAATTCAAAGTTCAACAAACTCCTCGATTAAAGATACGTTTTAAAAAGTAAGGCTTCACAGTCGCAGGCAACCATCTGGCAACCACCAGTAACGAGGGTAAAATATGGAAAAGAGTGTATTCTGCAACTAGTTGGGGAATCGTTGCTGCAAACAAAAGTGCGACACAAACCGGAAACGCAGACCGGCCTTCAAAGTAAGAGTCGTGCCTCACGCTGTGGTGAACTAATTTTAAAAGGTGCAGGTTCAAGTTTGCATGCAAATGTTCTCTAGTCTCGTCACTGCGGCTCGTGAGCGTTTGCAGTCGTCCACAGCCAACCTGTTAGCGACGACGACGATGCCTCATGGTGCAACCTCCAGCAACCACTCACCAACCGGTCCAGTAATGCGCATTTTTACCTAGCAACCAGAGGTTACCAGGGGCGTGCCATGTGGCTCAGGCGTAATTATATTAATTATATTAATTTGTTGTACAAAAATAATCTTGATTTTAGGCCATAATCAAGCGGCCCTAATGATCTGGACTAATAAATACTGTTTTTCGGACACTTGGCAGGGCGCTGATGTTGCCTGTGAAGCTGAAATAAAAGGACTTTGTGTGTGTGTGTGTGTGTGTGTGTGTGTGTGTGTGTGTGTGTGCAAACACCAGAGATTATGTGAAACGCTGGAGCTTTTCCACGCCATCGGCCCTTCTCTGAAGTGGCTGCAGACCATTTCTCCCTCTGTTTTGTTGTAAAGCTGTCAGGATTTCACAATCAGGTGAGTCAGAGCAGAATGCAGCGTCCATATGATGCACGTGCGCCGCTGTTTGCTGCATTCAGACCACATCACACAGACACAGTGAGAACAGGGTGTACCCTTTGAAAAAGGCTGTGTTTTATTGAAATACAGCAGACATCAACAGGTTGTTTTGCTGGCCTGGGCGACAGAAACAGAGCTCGAATGCTTTTCAAACAACGCAAAAAAAAAAATATTCATGGCTCTTATTTTCTTTTAACCCGACGGACCCCAGAGACGCCGCCAGCCCACGAACCCAGCTGAGTCAGGACGAGTTCGCGTTTGGGCCGGGAAGGGAAGCGTCTTTGTGGCGTCGAGGACGAAACAAAAACAAGCTGGTGCTCCAAATCAGTTTGGGTTCAAAGATGCTGGTATGTGAAGTTAAAAATCGAACGCGCCTCGAGTGCTGGAGGATTTGAAAGTGTTCAGGCCTGTTTTTGTGCCCAGGGTTGTTGTTAGATAGTAGCAGTAGTAGAAGAAGCAGAACCTCAGTTATGAAGCAGGGCTGGCCTCAACTCCCCTTAAAAACACAATCAGAGCACCTGGTTTTCCCAAAAGTGATGCTTGGCTTTGTAAAGTCTTTTTTTCTCGGTTGATTACAATTTTTTTGTGCATTTTTTTGCAGGAGCGTTGGAGCACTTATCCCTTCATTTGACTTCTTTTCACACGTGAACCAAGATTTAAAAACACAGCTTGAAAGAATGCAGTGAGTTTGATGATTTGCATACGCAAAACTTCCAGAAACTGGATCTGATTCAACTTGTCGAACAGCGGAAGGTTTCTCTGAAACTAAAGTACTTTTGCAGAAGTCACGTCTTGATTGTCTCACGTCTTAAAATTCCTTCGCTGAGCTTCTGAAGTGAGCTGAAAAAGCAGTCAAATGAAGAAGATATCAGCTCTCTACAGCCTATTTTCTACTTTTTCATTCTTGGTTCACATGTGACAGCGACTTGAATTTCAAAACTGAGGACAGCTGGAGACTGAGGACGGATAAACACCCTTGAAGTTTGCTCGACAACAGAGTCTGGATCAGAGCGCAGATTTGCTCTGATAGCAGGAATGACGTGCTCAAAGTCCAGAGTCTAGTTCAGAAAATCTAGTTCTGCAACTCTGATGCAATATCAATATTTCAGAGGTGGAAATATATCAAAGAAAACCAGAAGACTGCATTGCTCTTTAACTTTTGTGCTTGAAACCGGTAAACAGAAAACAACAGAGCCATCATCAGAGCGAACTTCAGGGAAGGTAAAGGAGTTCAGCCTCGACGTCGTCCCCCCACCCCGCCAACATCTGAACCTCGCTGCTCTTCAAAACTTGACTGTCGCTGCATAAAAAGCTTTTTTGAGGAAACCAGGCGCTCGCCACGATACAACGGAGCAAGTTTAAACGAAGGAAGGACGGAGCACACCGGTCGCACTGCGCGCCGCTTTGTGTGGTTTGTTCGTCCCCTCGTTGTGACCGGGGCAGTTTTCCCCAAGTTTACGCTCACAGGAAACGACGATTGCAACATTTAATCGCGATTGTCGATTACGTACATTTACAAGCCACCTGGGTGCTGCACACCGCCACTCGTCAGTGTGCGCTAAAAATAAACTAGCATAAATTTGAGACAAACCTCTTTAAGACCGCTAACCTACAAGCCGTCAGTTAGCTTCAAAGGCTTTTTAAGGCTTATTTTAGAGGTGCTTTAATTTTTTATCTGGATTTTTTATGAATCAAACTGCAAAAGTGAACCATGATTGTTGTGCTAGCTGCAGCAAAATTAAAGTTGCTGCTATTAGCAAGCCAGAATGACATCACCAGTATCGCTGATGTAGCCTTCTCTTATTGGCTAAAAATCAACTGGTGGTCCTGATTTCCATTACAAGCGACTCCATCCCGGTACTTTGGTACTCGTAGTGAACTACATTTAGATTTTTAAATTAACAATTGTAATTAGCACAAGTTCGTGATTTAGCTAACAGCTATTTTGATCCTTGGTTTTAGCATCTTACACATTCACATAAAAACGGGACAAGATCGCTCTTCGTCCCTTTGAAGGTAAAAAGTGCAAATTTATGTGGAAAAGTTGGCCAAAAATATTTTAATCAACAAAATAAAAAAGCTTAATAGAGTTGAAAGTAGACTACAGTAGAACTTGTGGCGTGTCAAACGTCACTGAGGCCAAAGGTTTGCTCGAGGCACCGGTCTGGGATAGCGGAAGCGTTCGAGCAAATTTAGTTCCCACACGATCATGTTTAACTTCTGCAGGACCGCCTTTGCTTTGGTGCCAGTGTGCTCGGTTCCCTCCTCTTTCAACATTCAGACAGTAAACCCACTTTCCTCCCCAAAGCAATTACATTCAATCATTCATCAGAAAAATATTCAATTAAAACTATACACTTGCAAAAATAAAACTCTCTTGGAAGCGTGCTAAGGCTGAGCGTCCACCAGGAGGCGCTCTCCGCCGCGCTGCCAGCACTCCTGTTAGGCCCTGCAGCTGTGCGGCGAGAGCTTCAGTGCTGCTGAACGCTACAAGTTTAAAGAACTGCGAAGACTTCGAGCAAACAAAGAAGCATTTTAACCACCTCGGACGAGCGGTCGGAGCTACCGCCAAACCCCCGACAGCTCGACCGGCCGCCCCGCGGACGGAGTTGGAAACCTCCCCCTGCCGTCGTGTCGTTGAGGCCAGCCCTGGTATGCATTTGTAAATACAGTATTTCAGATATATGTAGTCTTATCATCTTTAAATCTGACCAGGACACTACAGCGGCAGAAGCAATACATAAAAAAGCTCATATTTTGTTTTTTACTATTATTCTTTTTTGTAGGAATGGAACTAGTTTCAACTAATCCTACCAAGCCAACATGTAGTAATGTATCGAATAAAAGGCTATTTATCTTTTTTTTGTCTGTTTTTGTTTATTACAGGTGTGTATGATGGTGTGCAGGACGACAAAGAGAGAGAGGGAGAGAAAAACGAAGGGAAACGGTGAAAAATGAAAGAAAGCGAGGAGAGACGAGCGAGACGGCGAAAAGGAGGAGGGATAGAAACAGAGAGAAAGATCAAAGTATGATTCAGGCAGCGTGAGTCTTGATTGCAGGTTTTTACTGTCGAGTTTGTAAGTTGCGTGATCGTTACCGTTGAATCCTTCTGCGTTTGCCACCGTTTCAAGTCTCTCGACTGTTTTTTTTGTTTTTATACTCAGTTTGTTCCTTATCGGGTTTGAAAACAAAGATCCACGACAGTCACTTGGTCATACAAGCATGTTCGTCGGAACGAGAAGTGCAGATTGGCTTAAGTTTCTTTTTGTTTTTTTCCTTTGCTTTTCTTCAAAAAAAAGGGTTCCAGACAGTGGCTACAATAATAATAATATAATAATATAATAATAATAGCACTTGACTTCACTTCAGCACAGTAAAAAAAAGGAAAAATGTCCAAAGGTGCTTTTTTTTTCTCCGTTTTGTTTTTTAAATCTGATTTGATGTGAAGCGAAGTCCCCCCTCTTCCTCCCTCCTCTCCCTCCCACCTCTCCTCTCCTCTCAGCGGGGAAGTGGCGGGCGGAAGTCCAGTGCCGGTGAGATGAACAAATGACTGAAGTATTGCCAACTGGTCCGTCTTTTTTTTTCTTCTTTTCCTTGTTTTTCCTTTTTTTGTAGTGGTTCCACTCCGGTTCAGTACAAAACGAGGAGAGAGAGATGGGAAAGAGCAAAAAACCCCACCAAGAACAAAAAAAGGAAAAGTGTTCACGCACACACTGCTGGCACTAGATTTTTTTTTAAAAGTCCAACAAAAATAAACCAAAAAAAAAAGCCGAGAGAGGTTTTTTTTTTTTAAAGGAAAAAGAAAACCAGGAGGATTTTGGGGGGACGAGTTGCTCCCATTTTACAAAATGTAACAAAATTTTTCCCGCAAAATTTTACAAATCTGTAGCAATACAGGAAAAACAAACAAACAAACAAACATATATATCCTATTTACAACGACACGAAGAAGAACCCTTATGTTATGTGTAGTGAGAATGCAGCAGATCCCAGCTTTGGCACTCGGCGTTTTTGTTCGTTTTTTTTCTTGTTTGTTTGTTTGTTTTAAATCCACCCTGTCGGTCTGTACTGCTGCTGCAGGCACACATTCAGTGCTCCGGTTCGTCTCCACGGCAACACGGGTCACACACAACACCGCCTCGGCCACGTCCGTCAGTCCCGCCTTTAACTCTGTAAAATACGGCGTTTGTGACGCTACAGATGGCCCCGCCCCTCCCTGAGCCTGGTTCTGCTGGAGGTTTCTTCCTGTTAAAAGGAAGTTTTTCCTTCCCGCTGTTGCCAGAGTGCTGCTCACAGGGGTCGTCTGATTGTTGGGGTTCTCTGTAGTATTGTAGGTCTTTACTTTGCAAGGGGACGGTTGGTGCTATATGAATAACACTGAACAGCTTTTTCTACCCTTGGGTCTGTGTGATGTCATAGAAAGGAGACAATCCTGCCCACCTTACTAATTTCCCGCTATAAGGAGCAGCCAATCAGGAGAACTTTCCCTTAAAGGGGAGGAGCTGTAGAGTCCAACAATGAAAACTAAAGTCTTTATAGTTTGTAACAGAGGTGATTCCCCTAAAGCCGTGAGGAAGTGAAGTAACAGGCCATTTGATTGGACAAAAAAGTTCCTCAAGGTTAAACTCAGGAACATATTTCAGAGGTGTTGTTAATGAAAACGTGAAATGAGAAGGATCCACTGAAGTCTAACAGTTATAAATTTAACATGTATGTTGGAGCTCGATTAACAGAAATGTTTTCTTTTAATTTCTAACATTGGATAAAAAAATTTCCTCGGCACTCAGACTGAGTCACGCAGCGTTCCTTTAGCCGGCGAATCGTTTCTCACGCACCAACCAATCTGAGGAAAATGGAAAACATGAATAAACTCGTCCACTTGCGCGTGAACAAAGCCTCGTGCGCCGTCACGCCGACCAAAGCAGCTTTTAATACGGTGCTGCTGACAACTCCACACTCCAGTGGAAAAACAACAAAAGGAAGTAAATATAGAAAGTTTCTGTGGCGCTGAAGGACTCGCTCGTCTCACAATGCAGCGCTGAGCCAACGTAAAGGCTGAAAACTGGCAGTTAACGGCTCCAGCTGCAGCTCGGCAATTCAATAAATACGTTTAACAATCATTTAAAAGAAGAGAAAACACTCTGAATAAAACATTCTGGTGACTTCCTCCGACTTAGGTGGAAAAATAAAGAGTTGCATAATGATGCAGGCGGACGGCTGTGACAAGGACGAAGAACGACTGGAATAAATCCTGATATGCTGCACGAGCGAAATACTAATTGTTCCTTTAATTCACCCAAAGCGTGCGCTGAGGAATTAATAAACGAATCCTACTGAGGTTTGGTTTGAAGGGACACGAGTTGTTTTTTTCAGGCATGTTTGTTGTTGCGGTTCACTTAAACTTGCTTTGTTTTCCAGCTCGTTTGTGGATTTATTCTCGGGGGGAGTGGAAGTGATCCACTTCACTTCTTTGAGGGAATGTTTGAATTTTGTCCCCCTGAAGACAAAACACATTTAAAGGGTCCGACTCTGTTTACGGCACTCTGCAGGACGCCTGTGCGACGGTGTTGTGTTATAATACTACTGTAAAACTGAAAGCAGCAGTTTGAAATCCACTGTAAAGGTGGGGGTGTGGGGTGGGGGGGTTTCAATTATCTTCACAGATCGTGACCCTGAATTTCTCCTCGCGCTCTTCAGATTTCAATTTGGGTGCAGCCCACAGCAAAGCGCAGCAGCGGCTCTGTCGTGTTCAAACTCGTGCTTTTGTGTGCGAGCATCACATCTACACCGCGGTCGCTCCAGGTCGCTGACGGCGTGACGGAGGAGGATGTTGTGCGTGAGCCGGGATGCGACAATCAAGAGATTAAAAACAAAAACCAAAAAAATCTGAAAACACAAGAACAGGGAAAAAAAAATTAGATAATCGAGAAACTCTTCTTTTGTTGCTCCATTCTTCATGTTTTCTCCTCTTCTGTTTCCAGCAGCAGCGGCGGTGGCGGAGGCGGAGGCGATGGAGGCGAATCTTATTCACACCTGAAATGGACAGAGGAGAGGAGGGGGGAGGAGGGTAAAAAACACATTAAAATCTGTCAAATGTTCGGCGGCACAAATGTCAGTGTCACAAGAACTCGGATGATTCTCGGCAAAAAATGAAAACAAAGCCAAACAAAAAGAGGCAGAGAGCAGCGAGCGCGGGGGATTAAAAAGCAGTCGTTGATCCCGAGTTGGCGTTCCAGGCCGCCCGGTGCCGCCGGGAACTGGGACACGCTGTGAGAGAACAGCGGCAGACCTCAGCGGCCGCGGCGCGCTCGCTTAATCTGTGTAAGAGGAAAACTGTGCCGAAGATTAAACGAGGCCGGCGGTCGCTGTGATTACAAACACAGTTTTGTATCGTGGGACAGAGAGCGGCTCGTCAGCAGCAGGTGACCTGTGGCTAAACTCCCGCCGTCAGGCGGAGCCAGCTGCTGCTCGTCAAACAGTATCGAGTAACTGATCGTCAGCAGGTCTGAGCTGCTCTGTGCAAACGGTTTCAGTCTGCAGGACATTCAGGTGTCGCAGTTTTCACCTGGGTGGACATCCCAGCAAATTCACCCTGCGGTCACTCTACGGGCCTCGGTTAGCAGCTTAAAGGTTAAAGTTCATGACCTTACAGATATGAAAGGACTGAGTAGCTGTGGCTCGTTGCCAGGAGAAAGCCTCTTCACCAGCTGTCAGCACTGATCAGCTGATGATTTGAGCACCTCACAGTCACCGAGTGGACCGTGAGGTGCTCTCCAAAGTCCTCTAGAGTCAAACCCACAGATAAAGCCTGGGCTGACCTGGATCACACAAAAGGTGCTGCAAAGTGCAGCCTGACCGAGAGGCTGGACCTTCACGGAGCTGTGCAAACACGAAACCTCAATAACCTGAAGCAACGCTGTGAAGAAGAGTCCCCGCCGTGCTGTGAGAGACTGAGCCACCGCTTCAGGTCGAGCTACGAGCTGCTGCATCACAGGACCGTACGCAACCAGAGTTCCCACAGTGTCTGATCAGTGTGCTCGCTGTGTTTGTGGAGACTTTAAATAAAGACTGAAAGAACGCGAACATCACTGCGGCTTCCGTTTAAGCTCCTCTGAGCTCGACACAGATTCATCCATCAGGTCTCGAGTCAAAGAGGACAAACTGCTGAATGTCTTCTTCAGCTGCAAACAGCTGCTCAATCAGCTGTTTAATCACAACACCAGCTGAAAAGCCACAACAAAACTGTATTACCCTCACATACGCAAACAGCGTGTTACTGAGTCAGGCCCAGAGTCAGGGCCCTCTGAGCTTCACCTAAAAGTTCCTTAAAAAGACACAAACTGACTACAAAAAGATGAAAAACAACCACAAAACACAGGTTAGAGCAGGCTCACAGATGCAGCGACAAAGAGAAAACAAACAACTGCAAAGACACAAAAAAAGAGTCAGGCGCTAAGACGAGTACTGCACAGCTGCTACAGAGACACAAGAAACAGCTACAAAGAAACAAACGCGACACAAACGAGACAAAAACATCTGCAGAGACAGACGCTCCACATGTTCTGCACAGAGAACATAACTGAGTGCAGGTTGAACCAGGTTGAACTGTGACTCGAACTCGTCTCCTGTTGCTGGTTGAAGCCGAGGAGCTTTGTTGAGTCCAGGGACAGAAGAAATGACTACAGTGAATTTTACACCCATGACTGTTGAATAAAGACGCGTGTCTGTTTTAATAACTAGCTTGAGAAATAATTGGTGAGTGTCAGTGGTTTAGCTGTAGGAAGCTGCCTCTTTCAAAGACCGCTCAGAACCTTCAGCAGGAAAACGACAGCCTGATGTTCCTCTGAGCGCTCACAGATCCCCAACGTTCAGTGAAACTGGGGAAACTTATCCGCGTGTTCGCGTGTTGCTGCCAGTCCAGAAAACTGCTTTTGTTCAGCACGTCCCTGCAAACACCGCAGCTTACACCGTCTCTAGTGAGCGTCTTCTCCAGATGGAAGATGGCCGTGTTTTGTTAGACACCTGGTATGTTATTAAGCCAGGTAATACCAAGGAGGAGATTGCCTTCTCACAAAACTCTGTGGATGTCATAGCGAAGTCTGAACCCTGAGCTGGTGTTTGAGGCTCGTACTGTTAAACCCACAATGGTGGCAGAAATCACAGTGAAGGTCAGAATCCCCGACAAACACGCTCCTGGTCCGGCTCCTCACCTGACGCTCTGCCGTCAGGCTGACAAACCGCGGACGTGTTAACCAAGAACTGCTGGAGACTAAAACTCATCGATCCCGCCCACCACCTGTTTGACCTGCTGCCCTCTGGACTCCGCCTCAGGTCAATCAGGTCTCACTCCCACACACTCACAAACAGCTTCTTCCCCTCAGACTGGAAGCTAGCACACACCCCACCCACACTCGCACTCACTCTTATCCATGGTCCTGAGTCAGCCTCATCCTTCAGGCCAATCACAGCCTGCAAACGCCACGTCTGACCCGAGCTCCCGTCAGCCTCACAGCAGACACACCTGTGGAATCGCCTTTAACACCCTGCGTCGCCTCGCTCTCAAACTGAGGCTTCGATGCCGCCCGGCGGGGTGACGACAGAGCCCCATCAGCCCGTTACAGGTGACGGGTAAAACTGATTATCCTATTCAAATGGACCAATCAGATGGGACCACAATAGAAAATAACACAGATGTGGTGCAGCATCAGGAGCGCTGTGTAATTAGGAAACTTCAAATCAAGAAATTTTAACTGGAAAAGAAAAAAAACCCTTTTTTTATTAAAAATGACAAAATGGAAATAAATGAATGTTCTTTAAGATTAAGGCGACCCGGGAGTGACTGTGATCGTCTCGCCGCTCGGTGTTTCGCATCATGATGATGACAGCGAGGGAGCAGCTCTGCAGCATGTCAGCAATTAAGGCTTCATCTATAAGGTACGACTGTTGATAAGTTATTACAGGACGCCGCGCTCCACTGATTAAATGAAGCCCGGAGCTGCTGTGATTAGTGAGACAGGACAATGGATGGTGGGCGCACACACACTCCTGCACACACACACACACACACACACACACACACACACACAGATGAGCCGGGGACATCAATTAACGCTGCTGCAGAAATTTGTTTTTGTTCCGTCGGTCGTTATGACTCCCTAATATAATCTGGTTGATGCCATCACTCTTTAGCTCTCTTTATTAGTATCATCCTGCTGATGTGACCTTTGACCCCTAACCTCATGTGTAAAATGGAAAAGGAGGGAGCGCGAGAGCGAAAGCAGCTTTAAACGAGCCGATGTTTGGAGCCCTCGCTCCTCTCCATGTTTGAGACCTGTGAACGCGCCTCGCTTCATTTCATCCTCCCATTCTTCATTTTCTCAGCAGGCATTTGTCCCTTTCATCCCCCGTTTACCTTGGCCTCCTGTCCAACAGACCGGCCTTACGGTTACAGCAGAATGAGAAAGGGAACATATGTTTAATTTCTAGTATGTTTTGCTTAACGCCTGAATGACTTTTTTATTTTGACGAGCGGCGGCTTTGATTAAGCCGAACGATCGCTCTCAGACCAGCACCGGGGGAAAACGGTCGAGTTTATTTCTGCTGCAGTTTCTCCTCTCAAGGTCTCAAATTTGGATTTTATTGACTGGTGTGTGTTAAATTGTGCTTTTCTGTCTGTATTTCTGCTTTTAGATTAATTACAGAATGCAATTTTTTCCTTGTTGCTGTGATATCGACCGTTTTTCACTGGCTGTGATTTGTGGTCTGTTGTCAGAGTATAAACATGCTTCTAATAGTTTATTCAGAGCAGCACCAAATCAATATTTTCATCTGAACAAAGGATTAAATGACTGTGTTTAATCCGAAAGCTGTCATTCGGAGTGGTTTAGCAGCCCACTCTTGTTTTCTATTAACTCTGGAGAGCAGTTTAGTGTCTTTCAGCCTGAAGTTTTGGTTTTCCGTCCACACGCTGAGCTGTTTTTATGTTACTCACGTTACGGCCTGCTCGGCATCAAAGAGGTAAAAATTAGACACAAGCTGGTGGAGAAAAACCAACCAGCAGTGAAAAGGTGGAGAAACTCCCTCCAGGAGTTTGTGGAGAACCCAGAGTCCCGAGTGTCTGACTATAGAGCTTCTACATATGATGTCATCGTTTGTCGTTGTTTAGGTTTGGCCCACGCTCTCTGATGGAAAAGGGTGGAGTGCCCACTCTGGGTGGAGGGGAGTGGAGCAGGCGACTGGCAGACTGATGGAGGCTGTGGTGAAGGTGAAGCTGTCTTTGCTGGTTGAGCTGCCCTCGCACATGGCCACGAGCTCTGGGTCCTGACCACAGGAGTGAGAACGAGGAGGGAAGCGGCCAAAACGAGCTTCACCTGAAGGGAGGCTGGGCTCAGAGCGGAGCCGCCACTCCTCCACGTGGAGGCGAGCCAGTGGAGGCGAGGATGCCTCATGGATGTCTCCCAGGGGAGGAGGTTCAAGCGTGTCCAACCTGGAGGAGACTCCGGACACGCTGGGGAGATGATATCTCGCGGCTGGCTTTGAAGAGGGAGGTGTGTCTGTGCTTAGACACCAGCGGGTACGAAAACAGATGGATGTGATGGATGGGGGTGGGGGTGAGGGGAGCAGTGTTATGGTTAGCTACGGCCCTGAGAACGGGGGAGGGGGGGTGTTGCGCAGCCCTCTCTTTAACGTGGCCTCGGCGATGAAGCTGTTACAGTCGGTGCACGCCGATCGACTCCTGTTGGAGGTTTAATGAGAAAATTCAGTTTCCTGTTGCCATGTTTTAGTCGGCGCCGCATATTTCCCAGAGTTCGAGTGTGACTTCTATCTGGAGCAGGTTTTCCATCAGCTGCGTTTGGTGGATTCCAGCGTTCACCTGCCACGCTCACTCGTCGGAGCGCCAAACTGATTTGGAGAGCAGAACTCGGCCTCCAGCAATAACTGGCGCCAGAGCCGAGCGTCTGGCAGAGCGGGCGAGTCTGCGGCCGCCGCCACAAAGTGCCAGGGTTTAGATAGCTGCTCGTGTTAATTTATCA